GCGATTAAAATCGGCGTCGACGGTCACGGGCACACGAGCGATAATAATCGCCCGAAAATATCTAACATTTTGGATACGGGCGATTCGATCGGGCGATTAAAATCGGCGTCGACGGTCACGGGCACACGAGCGATAATAATCGCCCGGCGTAAATAATCGCCCGAAAATATCTAACATTTTGGATACGGGCGATTCGATCGGGCGATTAAAATCGGCGTCGACGTGAACGGGCACACGGGCGAATTTTTCGAGCGATTTTAGAATTCGCGGCGATCGGGCGATAAAAATCGCTCGTGTGCCCCTACCTTTAAAAAACAAAACCCCATTAGCGTATTATTTTTCTCGGAACACGAGTCCTTGAAAACGAATACGCACGTCCCTTGACAGACCCCGTTGGCTTTCTATTTGCCATACGACACCCCTTCAGAAAGTGGAAACCACCGTGTGTGTAACCTGGCCCGTTTATCTTGTTCCTTTTACCCGCGTACGCGCGTTTCGCCATGCATCGCCTTTGTACGCATTATCCAAACTATTGCGCGGAATTATTCTTATCGTGATGACACGATGCAAACGTGATGCGCATTAGCGATGCGGATGTTTTACAAGGTATTTTTCAGCAATGCGTGTGATGCTTGATGACGTCACGTCATCGCGCTCGTCGCGATTTGCACGATCGACTTCATTGACATTCGTTGACGCATTATTTAGCGCCGGTCCGTATTATTGATCAGTTTTTGGCAAAGCTTTAAGATCTATAGGTTCGCTGTCGGATAACAGTCACTACTGCAGGCAATTTTCACAAAAAGCTATCATGTTTCAATTGAAGTGCGGGGGCAATTCCATCGCACTTACTGATTTCAGTTAAACCGAGTTCCACCGAATCGCAAATATTTACACAAACGCTCTGCATTACGTGAATATGACGAAACGTTTTGACAAGCCGAGGGAATACGCAGCAAACTTCTTAGCTTTTCTCGAAAAAAAACCTCAAAGTGAGGCCAACGCGCAACCAATAAAAATAATTTTGCGCATGCGAAATTGCTCCTAAAGGGCCGGACACACTAGGCGATTTAATCGGCTCTTGATATTATATGATCCCTATAATAGCAAGACTAATGTTCACAAGTCTATGTACCACGAAGTGGTATGTGTATAGGTATGTACTTACAGACTGTTTTTGTAACATTCTGAAAAAAAAATTATAAAAAAAAAGTTCGAGTTGTACTCGGTCGTCCGATTTTCTACTCGATTAATCAACTCGGCAGCCCAAACGAGTAATGATCGACGAACTCGATTAATCAGATTGTATTTGTATTTTTGTACTATTGCTTAATTTAGGCCTACAGTACCTACGCGTGTATTGTTTATCAATTTTCCCCGGTTCAAACCTTCACGGCCTCCTTCTTCGTTCTGTCCCTGTACTCATGCAGACAGGGTCATATCATACAAGAGGGGCTTCGCCTCCCACAAAAAGATCAACTCTGCCACTTTGTCGTAGGACCACGATAGCTCCATGGGATCTGCCATTTTGTCTAATTACGTCAGTATCATTGAACAACTCTGATTGGCTGATGAATTGTACAATCGGGCGACTTTATTGCCGACCCGGACACACTAGGCGATTTTATCGGGCGACTGAAATAATCGCCCGATAATATCAAAACGTTTTGATCGATGCGATTAAATCGGGCGACTAAATCGGCGGCGACTGACTGGACACACTAGGCGATTTTCACCGCGATTTAGTCGCCCGACTGAGTTGCCCGATTAAATCGCCTAGTGTGTCCGGCCCTTAACACAAACGCCCTCTAATTATGTGTTCATTGCATGCATAACTTCGGTGGGACGTGATTTAAATAATTTTTACAGCTTTGCAATTAATAAACTCTCACTACCGGTGTGTGCGTTACATACGTCGATGTCACTTACCGGCTTTATGACGGAGGAAATCAGGTACGTTCGCACCCCGGCGTTCTTTATCGATTCGTCACGTATTTCCCCGTATCCGTCCTCGAGTTGGAATTCCCCGTTCAAAAATGTACATGTTGAGTCAGAGACGTGTACACGGCTGCAATAGGAAGCGAATACATTGCCTTCCACAACATTCTACATATTATGAAATAAATGCGCGTAATGCCGATAACACGAATGAATTCTTACTCTCTTGAATCAATTCGATGTTCTACAAGCGGTTCATGGCTTTTCCTATTGTGCATTATATTTCAACCGTGTAATTTATTATTATTTTACAATCATTATCAATACCATTATCATAATAATAATAATAATAATTATAATTCATCATCATAATCTTTAGCGATATCGTTATCATAATCATTATCATCATCATCATCATCATCATCAGCAGCAGCAGCAGCATAATCATCATCGCATCATATCATCATAATCATAATCATAATCATAATCATAATTATGATATAATCATTATCGATATCGTTATCATTATCATCATCATCATAATCATTATCATCATCATCAGCAGCAGCAGCAGCATAATCATCATCGCATCATATCATCATAATCATCATCATAATCATCATCGTCGTCATCTTCATCATCATCAGTGCGTGCGTGCGTGCGTGCGTGTGTGTGTGTGTACGCGAATGTTAATGTTTTCGATAGACATCTGGAGATAATGCTTAAATGTGTAAACAAGCCTATGGGTTTAACATATAAGTGTAGATAGAAGATTCCGAGTACAAATACTCAACATACCTTTGGGAAGTTGGCACCGAGGGACACGAAGCTGATCATCATTAGCAGAACTTCAGAGATGATGAAGACTAAGAGCGAAGTCGTAGATCTGAAGTAGGGAAATGTTACTGTTTGCACGGCAGGGAAACTGCAGCAACAACAGCAGAAGCAGCAGCTTTAAGCTGACACGCTAAAAATCATAATCTACTTACAAGCAATGCGATCGGCTTCAAATATATAAGTGCGCTCATGTCAGCTACGCAAATAGCCCCGTTGTTGGGCCTTCAGTGTGCAACGAGTAACACACCAAATGTATGACGTATATGACATAAATATCGGCGTTACGATATATACAATACTACTATATACAGTTAAACCAATATTTATTTTAGTTTCTCATTCAAGCATTACTATACGGCCCTAAACCCCAAATCTTATATTCAAAGCCAATTATCTCGGGGGATTTTTTTCGCACGTAAATCCGTGATTTTATTAGCTATAATATGGAATATTATCGGGCATACATGCGAAAGACTTAGTTGGGAGTATTTCGTGCGTAGCTCGGCATCGAGAAACAGTAGAACAGTATATACGAGCATGTGAAGCTAATGGACAGTTGTGCTGCGCACACTAAATGGTCGGTTGATGTTAGTGCGTATGTTCACATAATTTTCGGCTAACGCTTTTACATATATATCTTTATAGTAAGTTTAAACAACGATTGCCGTTAACGAAAGCACGATACACGATACGATCGACTCCAGTAGTGGGTAATTGCATGCAAGAGCATACGTACGTGAATATACAGAAACTGCAATATGCGCCAGTAAATAGCAAAGCACATGTCTGGCTTTGCGCATTAAAGGCATAATAGGTCCATTGATTATGCAATGTTAACGAATGCTAGAGTAACTGGCACCTTGTGTAGTTAATAAGTACATTACCTTATAGCCAAACGCGTATTAGTTTGTCCAATATCACTGCTAATTACTCAGAAATGTCAAATTGAAATCCGTAAATCTGGTAATCTGGCGCCAACGCAAAATTGTTTGTCAAGCAAAATAGCCTCGAAACGGTTATGTGACGTCATATGTTGCAACGGGTGTTGAGTAGAGAATTGTTTGTCCCGAGATGCTTATAACGACTAATGAGCTCGTAGAATGTATCTCTGGGTGTATTCTCGGTATTGAGGCACGAGCAAATAACCGTGGGTGCTAATGAACGGGTACCCACATGTCTTCAATTTCGGACACAGTATTCGTTTGACCAATATACGTAAATACGCGTAGTGCCGTCTGCTTTTTTTTGCTGGACTTTTTTACCAAAACAGTCGATATCAGCATGCAGGAATACACAAGGTGCGAACAGCAAAAGCTGCTCAGATAAGGTAATATCAAGTCAGACCAGGTCAGATCAGGTAAGATCAGGTCAGATCAAATCAGAGCAGGTCAGATCAGGTTGGATAAATTTAGATCGGGTCAGATCAACTCAGGTAAGGCAAAATCAGATCGGATCACGTCAGATCAAACTAGATCGAAGATCAGTGAATAAAATACCTCGGAAGAACCAGCAGTTGCGCGAGAAAACAGAAGAGCAGCACGATGCAGGTAGCGCTGATGGCGATTCCTCCCTGTCGGTCCTTATTCCGGTTGTAATCACGCTCAAGATTGTTGTTGGTGAAGCGGAGAGTGATCTTAGACGAGCATTTCGCCAGAGCACTATGTACAGGCAAGGTATAGGTACGTGATGGATCTATCTACCTACCTATCTATCTATCTATCTATCTATCGATCTATCTATCTATCTATCTATCTATCTATCTATCGCGGGAGATTAGGATACGCATATTGACAACAGCGGGTCAACTCGATACGACACAGATGCTGCGCTATCGCCTTCCTTGCATCTATATATGTACGATCCACACCTCATCTGTAAGCTCTGCCCACCGGAATATACTTAGTGTCGTAGGACCACGAACCCCTATCGCTTCCATGGGAGCTGCGCTATTCCCTGAAATAGGGAATAATTTTATCTAATTTGCGTCAGGAGGCAGCGTTCAGAGAACACAACAAACAACTCTGATTGCGATACGGAAAGCTGACTCATTGATTGTTACCAACTCGGGCGCGACGTTATTGCCGACGGCCGGACACACTAGGCGATTTTATCCGGGGCGATAGAACTTGCGGCAAATAGGACTCGCCACGATAATATCAATATCGTTGACAAAACGGTTTCCGCGTAATAATGGAAAGCCCCGGTTTTGATCGATGCGGATTAATTAATTCGGCGGGCGGCGAATCGTAAAAATCGCGTCCCGCGACTACGACATGGACACAGAGCACTAGGCGCGATATCAACAACAGATGGGTCGCGATTTAGGTCGGCCCACTGATAGTCAGGGGCAAGAGATTCAAAAAGAGAGCTAAAAATAAGGGATAGAGGCTTAAACCGTTTTTGGGTAGAGGCTGAAACGGGTAAATATCATTTCATGATACTTGGGGAGTTTACTAAGAGGGTATGTTCCCAGCGCTCTGACTTCTTGCGTATAAGTGGCCGCGGCACTTGAAATTCCAGAAATGACCGCAGCGAAAATGGATTTTCTGAAATATCTGGCACTCCCAGACGTCCGTCAGGAGACATAAACGTTCGGTGGCTATACCACCATTTTCTACTAAGTGGAGAACCCAATTATCACACTTATAGAAACATAGGAATGGCGGCCAATAGTTCGATTTCAATATTGCCGCCAGTGAAATTTTTGTTATTTTGAATAACTAGATCTCCTAAGACGTCGATAGAAGACATTAGTTTTAGATTCTAAACGCCAACAATTTCGATAATCGGAGAAACAGAATTATGAAACTTAGAAAAGCATGAAGATTGGCAGCCATCCTTGGATTTCACTATGGGTCATGTTACTCCATTACTATAGACAACAGTCTTAAGCCAACGATAAAAATCATATATAAGGCAATATCCAGAATTTGTCAGAACTATGTATTTTTAAAACAGTCACTGACCCGCCAAGAACATTGTGTAATGGGTCAATGCAGGCCATGTTGCATTTGCAACGCACGCGGTGGCAGCACATATTTTTTGGTACAGTTGTACAGCTACGTGTACGGCACCAAGGTCCGCCTTACTACAGCCCACATGTCTTTATTGCTAATAGTATTGACACGAAAAATGGATTCAGTGTCAAATGAGCCGTGGTTTCAGAATGCCATCCTGCATATACCACCCGCATGTCCAATGCCGAAGGAATGCCTCCTGTAAGTACTATCTACACACTGGTTCCAATATTGAGGCTCTGATAGTGGCTCGATGAACAATGATGTATCAGTGCGTCTTTATATGGTGGCAAATAGTCAATATCGTCTTCTGCATTGGAAGTAAACTTCGGACAAGTAATAACTGTATAACCACAAATGTTGTCGTTGGATCATATAGTTTACATATAAAATGCTTTCACTGATGACAGCACATTAATCTAGGTGATAGTGGTAGATTCTGTTTTCCAACCTATGAATGCGATCTGGATCTTCGAATGAATACTTCCATGGCAGCGTTTTTGTTAGAAATTTCCATGGCAAACTGGCTCGTTGTGTCACTTCCGTTCAGCGCAATGAAAAGCTAACAATCCTTTTTCGAGTGTATGTTTGTTTATTGCAATGTCTATGACTCTTATCATCCAAGGAGATCTTTTGAAGTTCCTGCCTTCATCCACTCCTCCGTGCGACAACGTTTGCCGAAAAACCACTGTTACATCAATTAACACATCACGGAATCCCTGCAAACTACAATCGGTTCGCTATATCCGTGGTCTGCAGCACCATCGCACGCATGAACAAACAAGATTCGCGGCAGTGATCAGCTCCTCAGTGGTTTGTTCAAAGTGTGACACATCAACGTTCCGGGAGGGTACATATCGTTTTTCGCGTTATTCCGTAACTCCCACACATCAATTATCTTCTTACCCGCCGAAGTCACTAAGAGATTGAAATCTCCTCTTGACAAGAAACGGGACAAGATTCGCCTTGTTTCAGCGAGAGTTGATAATATCGTTCCAGTTCTGAGGGAGTTTTTGTGTCTGTACCTGTAATTCAACCGCCTAATTTGCTTTTTGTCGCCCTGATCGTCGTCTTTCTCGTGTACCCTTCTTATAGAATTCTCTTCTCCCTCGTATCGATCAAACATATATATCTATCCTGTCGAATTTCTAACCGTGCTGACTTCACACCAGTTCACAAACACATCTGCTATAAAGTCACCAAACGTAACTGCTGTTGTCGCGTTTCCAATGATTGTCAACACTGCCAATCCACACTAATGGTAATGTTTTACGAT